AATAGACAAATGGGACCTAATGAAACTCCACAGCTTCTGCACGGCAAAAGAAACAGTCACTAGAGTGGATCGGCAACCAACAGAATGGGAAAAAATTTTCGCAGTCTACCCATCTGACAAAGGGCTGATATCCAGAATTTACAAACAACTCAAGCAGATTTACAGGAAAAAAACAAACAAGCCCATTCAAAAGTGGGCAAAGGATATGAACAGATACTTTACGAAAGAAGACATATATGAGGCCAACAATCATATGAAAAAATGCTCATCGTCACTGGTCATCAGAGAGATGCAAATCAAAACCACATTGAGATACCATCTCACGCCAGTTAGAATGGCGATCATTAAAAAATCTGGAGACAACAGATGCTGGAGAGGATGTGGAGAAAAAGGAACACTTTTACACTGTTGGTGGGAGTGTAAATTAGTTCAACCATTGTGGAAGACAGTGTGGCAATTCCTCAAGGCCTTAGAAATAGAAATTCCATTTGACCCAGCAATCCCATTACTGGGTATATATCCAAAAGACTATAAATCGTTCTACTATAAGGACACATGTACACGAATGTTCATTGCAGCACTGTTTACAATAGCAAAGACCTGGAATCAACCCAAATGCCCATTGATAATAGACTGGATTGGAAAAATGTGGCACATATACACCATGGAATATTATGCAGCAATCAGAAATGATGAGTTCGTGTCGTTTGTAGGGACATGGATGAATCTGGAAAACATCATCCTCAGCAAACTGACACAAGAGCAGAAAATGAAACACCGCATATTCTCACTCATAGGTGGGTGATGAAAAATGAGAACACATGGACACAGAAAGGGGAGTACTAAACACTGGGGTCTATTGGGGGGAAAAGGGGAGGGCCAGTGGGAGGGGGAGGTGGGGAGGGATAGCCTGGGGAGAAATGCCAAATGTGGGTGAAGGGGAGAAGAAAAGCAAAGCACACTGCCATGTGTGTACCTACGCAACTGTCTTGCATGCTCTGCTCATGTACCCCAAAACCTATAATCCAATAAAAAAAAAAAAAAAAGAAAAAAAAAAAAAAAAAGAAAAGTACTTGGCACACAGTTGGGGTCAACAAATGTTAGTTGTCATTATTATCTTGCTGACTGTTTGCCTGGCCTCTGTAAGCGTATGAGTTTGCAATCTCTGACTTTACTTCATATAATGTTGAGTGAAAAAGTATTATGGTATGATCTCAAAGGTAAGCAGGGATAAATGTAAATGAGCTGTGGCCCTGATCCAATAGGACTAGTGTTCTTACAAGAAGAGGAAGCAACACCAGAGGAAAGGCCATGTAAAGACACAAGAGGGCAGCCACTATAATCCAGAGAGAAAAACCTCACCAGAAACCAGCCCTGCGGGTACATTGATCTTGGACTTCCAGGCTCCAGAACTATCGAAAAATAAATTTCTATTGTTTAAGCTAACAAGTCTGAGGTATTCTGCTATGGGAGCCAGACCAGTTAACATACTATATTTCTATAAAGAATATTTATTGCTTTAAACACACCAAGGAGAATGTTTACTAAACACACACACACAAACTAATACTTACTGCTTTCTTATCATTTTATCACTTTTAAGTATTTTGTTAAAAAGTCTTCAGAATAATAGAAAAAGGTATTTCATTCTTCTCATAAAATAACAGTTATGATCACTGCTTCTCCCATCAAGAATGTTATGGCCAACAAGATAGAAAACAAACATTTTAAAAATTGAGTTTTCAAAGCATTCAAGATGTGGACTGGCTGCTTCTAACAACCTATGCCCAGATGTGGGAGCACGGAAATGACTTAAAATTTGAATTTATATTTAAACAGGAAGAAGAGCATAAAAGTTTGAAAAATTTGCAGCTTGGCCAGGTGAGAGAAAGAAAAGCCTTCTTCAGAAGAGGACTTCAAGAGGGCTGTAGAGCAACCACTTGCTAAAAAGATTTGCATAACTAAAAGGGAGCCAACTGCTAATATCCAAGACAACGGGAAAAGGGCCTCCAACGCATTTCAGAGATCTTCAAGGCAGCCCCTCTCATCACAGGCCCTGAAACCCAGGAAGACTGGGTCTCAGGGGCCAGGCACAGGGCACCACTGTTCTGTGTCACCCCAGGACACTGCTCCATGCATCCTTACCACTCTGGCTCCAGCTATGGCTCAAAGGGGTCAAGGTACAGCTTGGGCCACTGCACAGGAGGGCATAAGCCATAAATTTTGGTGGCTTCCATGTGGCAAGCCTGTAGGTAGGCAGAGTGTAAAAGTGAAGGAGGCTTGGCAACCTCCCCCTAGATTTCAGAGGACGTATGGAAAAGCCTGGGTACCCAAGCAGAAGCCTGCTGCAAGGACAGAGCCCTCACAGAGAACTGCAACTGGGTCAAAATGAAGGGAAAATGTGAGGTTGGAGGTCTCACACAGAATTCCCACTAGGGCATTGCCCTAGAGAAGCTGTAAGAAGGCGCTACTGTCCTCCAAACCCCAGAATGACGGAGCTATCAACAGCTTACACCCTGCACCTGGAAAAGCCACAGTCACTCAATAACCTGTGAAAGCAGCCATGGAAGTGAATTTTGCAAAGCCACAGGACGAAACTGCTCAAGGCCCTGGAAGCCCACCACCTGCACTAGTGTGCATGGGATATGGGGTGTGGAATCAAAGGAGATTATTTTTCAGCTTTAAGATTTAATGACTGTCCTGTTGAGTTTCAAACTTGTGTAGGGCCTATAGCCCCTTTCTTTTGGCCAATTTCTTCATTTTGGAATGGAAATGTTTACCCAATACTATCTTGGAAGTAAATAACTTGTTTTGATTTTACAGGTTTATAGGTAAAAGCAACTCATTTCCAAATGAGACCTGGGACTTGGGACTTCTGAATTAATGATGCAATGAGTTAAAACTTTAAGGGATTATTGGGCAGGCATGATTGTGTTTTGCTATGTGAGAAGGACATGAAATTTGGGAGGCCAGTGGCAGAATGATATAGTTTGTCCCCGCCAAACCTTATGTTGAATTGTAATCCCCAATGTTGGAGGTGAGGCCAAGTGGGAGGTGTCTAGGTCATCCCTGATGTCTTGGTGCTGTCCAATAGTGAGTCGGTTCTCATGAAAACTGGTTGTTGTTAAGCGTGGCACCTCCTCCGCACCTCTCTCTATAGCTCCTGCTCTCAACATGTGAGATACCTTCCTCCCTCTTCATCTTCTGTCATAATTGGAAGATTCCTGAGGCCTTGTCAGAAGCAGATGCTGGTGCTATGCTTCCTGAACCATGAAGAACTACACGCCAATTAAACCTCTTTTCTTTCTTTCTTTTTTTTTTTTAGAATGCAGTGGCACGATCTCAGCTCACTGCAACCTCCACCTCCGTGGTTCAAGCGATTCTCCTGTCTCAGCCTCCCAAGTAGCTGGGATTATAGGCAACTCACCACAAGGCCTGGCTAATTTTTGTATATTTTTAGTAGAGATGGGGTTTTACTATGTTGGGCGGGCTGATTTCGAACTCCTGACCTCAAGTAATCCACTCTTCTAGGCCTCCCAAGGTGCTGGGATCACTGGCATGAGCCACCCCACCTGACCCTCTTTTCTTATAAATTACCTAGTCTCAAGTATTTCTTTACAGCAATGCAAGAATGGCTTAACACAGACAGTTTCAATTCAATTCCAAAGATCAACCCTAGCTATGTGGCTACCTGGCTGCCATACAAAATACCTAACCTTTGCCCACTGTACAACTATCTGAGATAAATGAGATATTTAAAGAAATCAACACTTGGAAACTTTCACTTGTCAACCAAATTTAACACATATAAAATATAGACTTACTTGTCAAATATGAAAAACCTTCTTTGACTCAAAGTCCCTTCTGGAAAAATCTTCATCTAGGAATATTTTACTTCTTTTTCACTAAAAACAAGTATAATTAAAGAATGTGTAAACCTTTAAGATCGATACTAAAATGAAACTGAAATCACCTGTTAGTCACATGTGGCACTTTCTAATCTAGTGATAACAGTCTGTGTCATTGTGAATACAGTACACCCTTTTATAACTACCTCATTGAGGGGAAGAAATAGCATAGGTCCTTTCATAGGCTGACTAGGTTCCAAGCTTTCACTGTATTTCTCAAAAAAGTCAAGAAAATACAATTTGCCTCACAGCATATCCAAATGGATAGCATATCATGTTTGAAAAGAAAGTTCTTAAATTTGAAATACTCCAATGAAGTATCATTAACTTAGCCTTACCTACTTTTCAACCTTATACCTTCTCAAATCTTATTCCCCAAGAGCTTATTCTGTATTCCCAAAATAAGCACTACTTCTCTTCTATTTCCAAGCCTTTGCTCAAGGTTACTTACTGTCTAGAATAACTGCCATCTATCTGATGAAATTCTACCAATCCTTCAAGAATCAGCTCAAAACCCACGATCTTTAGGTATTCCCAGATCTTCATGGTAAATATAATTCTCCCCTTTCTCCTGGCAATCTCATCACTATAGCTGTACTTTTCTTCTAGTATTTACCCATATATGCTTTTTTTAAGAGACAAGATCTTGCTCCACCACTCAAGCTCGACTGCAGTGGCACAATCATTGCAGTCTGTAACCTCGAACTCCTGGGCTCAAGCACTCCTCCAGTCTCAGCCTCACAAGAGTGCTAGGATTACAGGCATGAGCCACCATGCCTGGCCCCACATATACTTTAAAAGTATCTCCTTCATGGTTATGACCCTCTAGAAAGCAAAGATTATCTTACTTATTTTAACATGGCCTCAATATGTCTACAACAATACTTTGCATGTTGTAAATAGATAATAAATTATTGTAAATGTAGCTGAACAGAATGTAAAAATCTTTGATCTTATTTCTTGGAGAGGAACTTAAACTTCAATCACATTTCTAAATATATTCACAAAGACTTAATTCTGTATCTGTAGCTCTCTCCTAGATCTCTCTTCTGAGCTCAAAAAATAAATCCTTTTTTTTTTTTTTTTGAGACATAGTCTCACTCTGTTTCCCAGGATGGAGTGCAGTGCCACAGTCTCGGCTCACTGCAACCTCTACCTCCTGGGTTCAAGTGATTCTCCTACCTCAGCCTGCCAAGTAGCTGGAATTACAGGCACCCAGCTATTTTTTGTATTTTTAGTAGAGACAGGGTTTCACCACGTTGGCCTGGCTAGTCTCAAACTTCTGACCTCAGTGATCCTCCTGCATCAGCCTACCAAAGTGCTGGGATTACAGGCATGAGCCACCACGCCCAACCAAAAAATATATCTAACTATCTATAGGTTTCTTTACCTAGATATACCACAATTACCTCAATTTTATCTCATCTAAAACATAGTCACTATCTACCTTCTATTTGTATTCTTCTTCTAGCATCTCCTTGTATGACCCTGTGCAAGTGGCCTTACTTTTAAATCATTTGGCCCATTTCCTTCATCTGCCAAATCAGGAGCTTATTAAATGAAATCAAGAAGAAAAGTGCTGAATTTTATAAGACTGAATAACAAATTATTGCAAACATTGGCTTTAAACAACAACAAAAAAAGTGCAAGTGAAAGTTTAATTTTTTTGGAAAAAAGCCAATGAAACTGGACCCTGTCTCTCATCATATACAAAAGCCAACTCAAGAAGGACTAAACGTAAGACCTTACACTGTAAAACTACTAGAAGAAAATACAAGTAAAACACATAAGGACATTGGTTTAGGAAAAGATTTTATGGCCAAGACCTCAAACGCACATATAACTAAAATAAAAACAGACAAATTGGACTATGTTAAACGAAAAAGCTTCTGCACAGCAAAGAGAACAATCAACAGAGTGAAGAGACATCTATTGAACAGAAGAAAATATTTGCAAACTATTCATCTGACAAGAGACTAATATCCAGAATATACAAGGAACTCAACTCAACAAGAGAAAACACAAGTAATCCCATCAAAAAGCAGGTAAAGAACATGAATAGACAATTTTCAAAAGAAGACATACAAATGGCCAACAAACATGAAAAAATGCTCAACATCACTAATCATCAGGGAAATGCATATCAAAACCACAATTCTTAATCCTACCCCAATTAAAAGAACTGTTATTAAAAAGAAAATAACAGAAGCTGGAGAGGGTATAGAGGAAAGGGAACGCTCATACACGGTTGGTGGGAATGTGAATTAGTACAACCACTATGGAAAACAGTACAGAGATTTCTAAAACACACACACACACACACACACACACACAAAGAGAACTACCATATGATCTAGCAATCCCACTACTATTTGTATATCAAAGGGATAACTGCACCTGCAAGTTTATTGTAACATTATTCACAATAGGAAAGATATGAAATCAACTTAAAAGACCATGAACAAACAAATGGATAAAGAAAATGGGATATATACACACAATAAAATACTATTTGGCCATAAAAAATAATGAAATCATGTCAGTTGAAGCAACATGAATAGAACTAGAGTTTATTATGCTAAGTGAAATAATCCAGGCATAGAAAGACAAATATCATATATTCTCATTCATATGTGGGAGTTAAAAAGTTTATCTCAGCCAGGCATGGTGTTTCAGGCCTGTGATCCTAGCACTTTGGGAAACCAAAGCAGGAGGATCACCTGAATCTCTTAAGTTCAAGAGTTCAAGGTTACAGTGAGCTATGACAGTGCCACTGCACTGCAGCCTGGGTGAGAGCCAGACCCTGTAAGTAAATAAGTAAGTTAAGTAAGAAAATTATTTAAGCTGAAGGATAAAAGAAGGGGAGTACCCAGATTCTCAGGAGGAACACTATGGTCCAGAAATTACTGTTACATCCTCTTCTCCAGGATTCACTGACTTTCCAGCAGAAGTCTTAAAAAGGGAAGATGCGCATAGCTTCCTGCCTGAATAGCCATTAATTGATGGCTACAGTAAATACAAATTGACAGATTAAAATGCCTGATGTAGGACATTTGGTTGGATACTTCAAGTATTTTTTTGAAGGGTATATTGCTTAACTTCCCACTGCAAAGGGAATAATTCATATGATTATTTCAGCGATGATTTTTTGAATACTTTTTCATTAAAAGTACAACTGTGTCAAACAAGGCAAAAACATTTCTCACACATAACTGCAGGTGTCATTAGCCAATGTGATACACTACACTGCTGATTCAGAAAAGAGGTTTAATAGCAGACCGTTTTTTTCATCAGAAATATCTGAAAAAAAAGCCACCAAGCACTGTATCAATTTCTAACTTGTTTTTTAAAAAGAGTGGGCTGCTACAGTGGATATGTTCTACATCTCTTTAGGGCAGTGATTACATACAATTGTCATAACTTGATGGACCTGTTGATAGGATCTGTGTTTCTTTTAGGTAATTCATAACTCAACTTTTTTAATGAAAAGCGGTAATTAATGTTGTAAAGTTAATACTTGGCACATTAGAGACCGACTTGTTACAGAGAAAATAAGTCCCTTCCATCTTGGGCATAAAACGGCTTGCCCAGCCTAGCTCCCTGGACAAGTGGGTAACACTGGGAGGCATACAGAGAGGGGCAAGTGTTAGTGCGAGGTAGGTAGGAGCAAGGCTGCACACGCAGGCTCGTCACCTGGGCAGCCGCCCAATCCCCGTTTTTCATTTCTAACAAAAATAGTGTCCACCTCTTAATAATGTTTTCAGGATAAAATGAGTTAAGTGGGATGTTTGTACAAAGCCCTTAGGCATAGTAGAAAGTAGTAAGTAAATATGTGCTACCGCTGTTTATTATAAAAGATGAACAGACTAGTACTACTATACATACATACACACACACACACACATACACACACACACACACACACACACACACACAGCTACTGCCTAATAATCTGACTGGCAATCCTTCCTAGGACTATTGAATAACTAACCGTCATCAAAAATGTCTGCCCTTTGAACCATCACAAGACTCTTCCAAATTAAAATGTCTCTAACCCACTTGGATCCACTCGCCTGTCTAGGACATAAACCCGTGAGGCACCAGCCCCTGTGACAGAGCCAGACTCGCGCCTCGCCTCACGCCGACTCGCGCCAGCCTTCCCACCACCGCCCGAGCAGCCCGCGCGGTGTCACGTGACCTCTGGTTCGGCCTCTGGCCTTCCTGCCATATTCCCGCCCAGTCTCGCCCGCGGTGTCACATGACACCCGCCCAGCCGCTAACCAATCCCCTCCCTCCCGGCGTCACGTGGACTGCCTTCTCAGTCACCGGCCTGTTGTCTTGTTCCGCGCTGGAGAATTCAGATAGCCGACGCGCCGACCGGCGACTGAGGCGGGAATGGCCGCTGTGCTGCAGGGCATCGAGCGTCTGTCCAGTCGAGTCGTGCGTGTGTTGGGCTGTAATCCGGGTCCTATGACCCTGCAGGGCACCAACACCTACCTAGTGGGGACCGGCCCCAGGTAAACGTCCCTCTCCAACCTCCCAACGTACGCAGCCGCCCGCGGAACCCGGGCTGTGACTGATCGCGGCTGCGCCGGCAGCGAGGAGGGCCGTGTCCTGCCCCGAGCCTGGCAGCTCCGCGCCGGGCAGCCCTACCGGGACTGCACGCAGACACTCGGATCTCGGAGTTCGCTAAAATACGACCACCCCAGGTGATAGCTCTCTAATTTAGGGAGAATAGTGGAGAAGAAAAAAAAAAGAAGAAACTTCCTGTTTTGATATTCGACTTACTCTACTTGATGTTTGAATGCCAGGGTGTGCGTGTTTAAACTGTTGAGAAAATTAGGATGTCTGGAGTCAAGGGTCCAAGAAAGTGTTTATTTTGCACACACGACTTTCACTGGTGTTTTGTCCAGAGTATAATTTCCCTTCTCAAAAGCGATTAATTGTGTTGAGGCTATTTTCTCAACTCAGCAGCAGAGGGCAGAATTCTTTAGGCTTCCAAATTGGTTTTCTGTAAAATCAGAAAGAGCCGCTAGCCTGTGGAATCTTAGGAGCTGACATAACTAATTTGGGGGTTTTTTTTTGTTACAATTGTATGTGACCCTGTTTGAGTTTAATTTGCAGACAGAGTAACATACCTGCATTTCTAAGAAGATACTTTTGCTCTTGTTCAGCTGCATTCTGGTTTTAGTGGAATTATGCAGGGGTGGGAGATTTGGTTTACTGCATAGTCCGTGTTAGGCATTTAGCAACTTTTGCATAGTCTTTACTGGATAACTGAGATAATGTACTTTCTTTCCAGCATAGAGTTTAATTGTGCAGTCAAGACATGAATAACTTTTAAAATATAATTGATTATTAAAAACAATTTAGTAAGTATAGTTCATTGAGTTTTCCTTGGAAGTGTCTACTGTTTGGCGTTTTACCAGTAAATAGGAATTTTAGAAGCAGCAGACCTGCAAGGTGGGCAGCTAATTAAGTTCAGAGTATACAAGGCAGGGTCAAGTAGGTACCAAAGGTTTAGGCTGCCACCAGAATCTAGGAATACAGAACATTAAGCAGGAAGAATGCCAGATTTCTAGGGTACAGTCTGTCTTGGCTGGAAGTCCCTCAATCAAGTAAATCCATAGGTGGTCTCTCTTCAGTGTGTCATCTTAAACTAGTTGCAAAGTTAATACCTCAGACAAAAGATGCGTATAATCAGAATTACCCTGGAAAGTCTCTTAAAAGAACACCATGTTGTAGATAAGAGTATTGTGTCAGTAAGTTCAGCACAACCTGCCTTTTTTCCAGCGTCGAAACAGATGGCTGGTTCTGTTTGAAAACCAGATGAAGAAATTGGCTTGTGTTTAGGGGCCATGTTGTATGAAAAATACATACTGTATCTTTAAACACTAGAATCACACTCAACATAGCAAAATGCTAGTGTTAAAAAAGACTTGAAGACTAACTGAGGGAAAAGCAGATTTATAGTCTCTCATCTTAAATTACTTAACACTGTTACATAAATTAATGGAGTGGAATGGCCAGTGGAATTACTTGCACTATGTAAATTATTTCTCCATATAATTGAACTAGAGACTACATAGTTGAGATACAAATAAGTATAGATGATGCTACTGTATAAAGTAAAAGTTGGCTAGAAATTAATATTGATCGGCCCCACGTCAGATGTTCTCGGATTGGTATACACCTGTTCCACTTCACAAAACAGTTCTAAGATCACAAGTGGCTTTTATATCACTAAACCCAATGGTATTTTTCTGTTCTCAACTTCGTTGAACTTAAGTATTTTGACACCATTGACCACTCCCTCCTTCATTTGCCAACACCACATTCTTCAGGTTTCCTCTTACCTCTCGAGCTGCTCTTTCTCTTTCACCTTGATTGAGTCACCTTCTTTACCAAATCTTTAATTATTTTAGTTACTCAAGATGTAATCCTCATCTCTCATGTTCTGTATTCTCTACCTAGGCAACCTCGTCTACTTCTTGGGCTTTACCTTTATTATCTGTTTATTATTAACTACTAAATATATATAGCTCTAGTTCAAATTCCAAACTTGATCTTCAGACTCAAGTAGCCAACTGTTAAATCTATTTGCGTGACTCACTGCTGCCTGGAACTCAGTGCTTTCCATACTGAACTCATAACCTTTCCCAGGAAACTGCCAGGTCCTCTTCCAGTTGTCCATATCTTGGTAAACAAAACCATTCCTGCAGTTGTCCAAAGGAAATGCCTAAATACCTTCCCTGACATTTATTTGCTTCCTGCTACATAGCCAAGCCATTATGAAGCTCTCTCCATGTCCCCTGCTACCACTCAGTCCAAGCCAACACAACGTTGCTTAGGCCACTGTAATATAAGGCTCTTAACTGGCCTCTCTTTGACTACTGTCTCTCTCCAATCCAATCTCACCTATGTAGCCTAAGTGGTATTTTAAGAATGAAAATTGAAAGGCCTTGCGTATTCTGGCCTCCATTAGTCTTATCAGGCTCCTCTCAAACCTCTCCCACTCCAGCCATGCTGGCCTTATAGTACCTCAGATGAGGTTTATGATTCCTGTCTCAGGGACTTCATACATGCTTTCCTCTTTCTTTTACTCATCTCTCTCTTCTTTACCCAGCTAGTCTCATTCATCCTTTAAAGCACCGTTGAAATACCATTTCCTTATAGAAGTCTTCCCTGACCCATCAGACTGTATTAGGGGCACTCCATACTTTTCATGGTCCTTATCTCTATGACAATGAAATGACTTTTTTGTGCAAGAAGCTTTCCACACCTTCATACCCCACTATTAACATCAGTTCAGTTAAAGTATATTCATGGCTATATCCCCAGCATCTAGCACAGAGCCTTGTACACAGTACAGATAGAATAGTAAATAGTTGCTGAATGAACAAGCATTCTCTACATTTTCTCTTAATTTTCACTATTATGATTCCAGGACTGTTAGATAACCATAGTTTTTAGCTGGTCTTCCTTTCTCATATCCTCAGCCCACAGATGCCAAATGAATTTCACTAAAGCACTACTAGACCTAACTGTGATCCTTAGTACATAGATACTTAATAAGCTTTAGAATCAACAAATGATAGCCAAATTGTCCAGAATTTCTACTTTCCCCCTCTGCTCAAGAACCTCTAAAAGTTGCAATTTTAACCTTTCCTATCAAAATTGTACATACTTTGTGGACAGTGTGGCTTATAATAGAAAAAGGCAGTCAGGTAGAATAGAGTTAAACTCTGGATACTGGTTACCTAGATTAGAATCCTGGTGCCATTTAATGGCCATATGACTTTGGACAAGACAATTCTAAACATCAGATTCCTGATACAACCCAGTGAAGGTTGTATAGTACCTACCTCATTGGGATGTTATGAGGATTCAGTGAAATTTAAGTGAAACATATGAAAAGCGCTTAAGTTCTGGCACATGGAAAACATACCATGTTAGCTGCTATTTTTATCACTTCTGCTTTCCTCTTAACATCTAGACAACACTGGTCTCATAGTAGGTGCTCAGAAAATATCCAATGATTTTGTAAGATTGACAGCAGAGACCAGTTAATAGCTATCTTAATATTGACATAAAATACCTATAGCAAGGAATTTGATTCTACTAATTTTCCATCAATTGAAAATTGTTTTCTCCATTCATGTAGCCAACAGTTATTGTGTGCCTACTATGTGCCAGACACTTTGCTCTAGTGAATAAATCATTCATAGACCTATACACATTCATTTATACTCTTCTCTTGAGCCCTTCATTAGCATAATTTGCATTTGCTTTATGACCTCCTGAGATAGGGATGTTATTGTTTGTGATCATGAAGAACAAAGTTGAGGAGCCCATGTAGAGATGATACTATCTAATCATCTGCGTTAACTATTCACAGACATCATGGATAGAGTAACTGCTAAGGGAGATAACCTTTTTTTTCAATGTCAAAACTGATAACAATTTTTCCAAATGTATAGCTGAAGTTTTATTTTTGCCACATAAAGAATGATTCTAGGCACTTAACATAAGCAATCCCCTTCTGCTAGAGAGGCAGTGTTTTGAATGGAGACGTCACTGGACCTTGTGTCTGAACATCTAGTACTTTCCAGCACTGCCTCTTGCTGATTATATGAGCTGGAGCAAATCACTTAGCCTTTCTGAAGACTAGTTTTCTATAAAATAAAATAATTAATAAAGTAATAATACCTCCCTAGAGTTGATATGCGGATCAAAAGAAATAATAAATATGAACGCTCCAAATGATATGAATTACTACATCAATGTAATATGTTATCAGTGTGGCTTTTTCCCCCTCAATGCTTGGTGCAGACTCCTTTTTTAGGTTTTGTAGCATCTAGACACCCTCCTTTGTTCCAAATAGATTGTATTTATTTCAGGACTTTTTTCTGTTTTCTTTAAGAGTCTTTTGTCAGTTCCAATTTTGTTAAACCAAGAAAGGACCATTAGGAAACCAAAAACTAGAGGCCCAGAAACATGGTCTCCTGCCACAGGCCTGTGGTTACTCACACTTTCACCTGCAAACAACTAGCACAGGCATTCTAAAAGATCTGTTTTCTTTGCTACTAGATTTTATCAAGTTTGTCTATCAACCCTGTTAATTTTGTCATGACTTTTGATCAGTGTAATGTGATCTGGTCTTTAAATTACAGAGTTTTACATTCATTTTTAGATTAGGAGATATTTCAAAACAAGTGTTTCTTAGGAAGCGGGGAAGGCAAGGATTAAGAAATAATTTTAAAAGTGGTGGGGCCTTGATGGTTTGAAAAAAACTGAGAAGTCTTACCTGAAGCATGTAAGGATTCTTTTCAAGGACCAGAAGACCCACAAAAATAGTCCCAGTGACACTAGTTTAGGGGCAGTGAGAATTTGTGGTAACCCCAAATGCATGGAGGCAGCCAAAATCTAGGAGGGGTGGGCTAAAGAGTATTATTGGAGGTATCATAGTATTATAGTCTTACATACTTTTAATTTAGCATCACTAAATGTGCACAGTGCTGAGTGCAGTACGATGTATTATAGATATGGAAATAAATCCGTAAATTGCTTCAACAAAATAGACAAGCTTTCTTCCCTGAAGGGACTCAAATTTTTAGGGTGGTGTTGGGTGTGTAGGTAATAAACAAATATGTAAATACATGTTACATGGTAATAATTGCTGTTATAAAAAAGCAAGGTAAGACGGCTAGGAATGGCATCGGAATTCACTGTGACCCAAGGCAAATTCATCTCAGATTTGCTCCCTCCAAGGTTTACCATCTTGATTAATGGCACACCAGTCATCCCACCTCAGAATCACTGTTTCCCTCCTTACACATCTAGTTGTTTAAAAAATGGCTTAATGTTCTTTAAGCCATTTATTTCTTCCTTACGTTTTTACTGCCAACAGAACCCTATAATAAATGCCCCCTTGGTCCAGTGTAACCATCTGGTCTCCTGTCTCCAGATAGGACAGTTCAACACTGTGTTTCTGAAGGACATCTACTGTGCTATAGAACATAGGGTGCAGACAGAAGCCAATGGGCTATTAGGCCATTGCTCTCCTCCCTTATGAGAAGCCAGTTTGTTTTTGTTGACTATGGATCACAGGGAGTAGAGTTAAGGAAACAAACCAACCAAAAAAAAATAGCCATCTAGTTACTCACTGTTAAATTTTAATGCTTTGCAAAATGCTTTCTATTGTTCATTACTTTTATTGTTTATATTCAGTCATATGCAGTTCCCCTTCTCACCAAAGTAGAATGTAAGCAAGGTCGTTATGTCCTGCTTACTGCAAGAAACAAAGTTATGGGACGTATTAGGTAGTCCATAAACAGTTATTGATCAATGAATGAATAACTCAGACTTTTCATCAAGACTAATTTGTCAGCCAGCCTGAATTAGTGGGGTGGTTACTATGGAACAGCATGAGTGAAGAAGTTTGTGAATTGGATCTTGAGTAGGACATGGTGGCTCAATGACTGTAATCCCAGCACTTTGGGAGGCTGAGGTGGGAGGATTGTTTGAGCCCAGGAGTTAAGAGACCAGCCTGGCCAATATGACAAAACACCATCTCTACAAAAAATACAAAAATTAGCCGGGCATAGTGGTGTATATCTGTAGTCCCAGCTACTCAGGAGGGGAATGTGGGAGAATCTCTTGAGTCCATGAGGTCGAGGCTGCAGTGAGCGGAGATCACATCACTGCACTCCAGCGTAGGTGACAGAGCAAGACCCTGTCTCAAAAAAAAAAAAAAAAGAATTGGATCTTGAGGAAAATGTCACCCCGATGTCTTGAGGTCAGCAAAACTTCATAGAGAAAGGCCACCTCATAAAAGCACGAGGAAGGGAAAAGTATAAGGAAGATTCAGAACCACAAGCAAAAAACTACAGCTAATGGGGTTGTCTAAGTAAAGAAAGTAAACAGCTCAGACGTTTCCCTGTGCTTCACTAACGCCTCCATTTTCATGTGTAAGGGTGCTAGTGCCAAAGACTAGTTTCTATAGGGGTGCCATTGAATCAAAATCTTTCATATGTATAAAACTTTTGAAATATATAGAGATAAGAGATCTCAAAGGCAGAGAGATAAGAGCACATATTCTGGGCATCAGAATACCTGGGTTTGAAAGGTGTTTCTGCCATTTACCTACAGAGTAACCTGGGCAAGTTACTTCTAAATGTAATAATAAAATATGTACCTTAAACAGTTGTTACGAGGAATGCAGTTATTAAAATATGTAAGGTCCTTGAAATGGTGCCATATTTATTTTAATTGCTTTGTAAATGTACAAGATTACTGCTCTTATTCCTTTTTCAGACTTATATTTAGCTCTAATTTTTTCAGGAAACTTTATAAGGGTGAGATTACTGTAGTTAAGCTAAAGTGCCAGCTATTTTGAGCATGTTGAAAATAAAACAATTTTTACTTTCTTAAATTTAATGTAAATTATCTGTGTGCAAAATAATGCTAATGTCAACTCTGCGTTCCAGTTGTGTGATTATCTTCCATTTAATTTTCAGGAGAATCCTCATTGACACTGGAGAACCAGCAATTCCAGAATATATCAGCTGTTTAAAGCAGGCTCTAACTGAATTTAACACAGCAATCCAGGAAATTGTAGTGACTCACTGGCACCAAGATCATTCTGGAGGCATAGGAGATATTTGTAAAAGCATCAATAATGGTAAACAGAAACATTCATTAAGCTCATTGAGGAAAGCCCTGTTTGGAGAATAATTTATTTCAGTTACAGAGCTAAGTAGTCTATAAACCACTTACTAAATACCTCAGATTTAATTGGTGTTTTTAGAAATTGATGAGACTGTTGAATACTGTCCCTAGTTTTAACAAAGGAGGAGAGAAAAGTCCTGATTTCTGTTTCAAATCGTCAGTTTTGCTTTAGTCTGTGTGACAACTACTATTCAGACTTAATCATAACTAACAGCTGCTGAGCATTTACTCTGTGCCAGGCACTGCACTAAACACTTTACGTGGATACTGTGAGGTAGGTGCTGGTACTGCTCACATTCTAACAGAATCTCAGGCCTTCTGTGCTTTAAGGCAGTTATGAAGATATGCTGAAATTCAAGCAAGATATCATTGTATTGATAATTCATTGTCCCTGAAACCTATTCAATACCGACATTTTCCATCTCTTTATTTCCTCATCCCACCATCACACATCTAGATTCATTCATTCATTCATTCAGTAAACAAATATTTAGGTGACGGTTATATGTCAAACAGTGTTCTTGGCACAAGGGATATAGCAGTGGACAAAACAGACTGTGTTCTCATGGAGCTTTCATTCAAATAGGGAAGGTAATGGTAAATAAATAATAGGTCAGGCCGAGTGCAGTGGCTCACGCCTGTAATCCCAACATTTTGGGAGGCCAAGGTGGGTGAATTGCTTGAGCTCAGGAGTTCAAGACCAGCCTGGGCAACATAGCAAGACCCTGTCTCTACAAAAAAGTACAAAAATTAGTTGGGTGTGGTGGCGTGCACCTGCAGTCCCAGCTACTCAGGAGGCTAAGGTGGACAGACTGCTTGAGTCAGGGAAGCTGAGGCTGCAGTGAGCCAAGATTGTGCCACTGCACTTCAGCCTGGGCCGCAAAGTGAAAAAAAGATAGATCAAATGATGATGGGTGCTATGCAGGAAGATAAACATACAAGAAGAGAAAGGGAAAAGAGTAAAGTCGAAAAGGGCAGGAGCTGTTATATCCAGGGTAGACACAGAATGAGCAAGCAGGTAGCATTACAAGATCAAAGATGCTGGAATGGGAATATGGTTGGTACATTAGGGGCACAGTAAGGAGGTCAAGAATATTCAGGCTCATTTACATTGAGCTAATATTTTTAAACATTTGTAAAGATCTGCTTTTTTAGGCCTTGTGACTGCAATTGGGACATCAGCATGGTCTTAGCTACCACACCCAATATCACCAGGCTTCCAGTTATAAAAAACTGACAACCAAGCTTCTTTACCCTTTTACCTCCTTTCTTCCAATCTAAGGGAACTATGTACCACAGGAACTTATAATCTCTCAGTCTGACTTTTTCTTGCTTTTCCTTCTCTTGTCTTGCTCTTTTACTCTTGTCTTACCTCTTCTTTTAATCTACCTATTAGATCTTGTGAATTAAAAACCTAGTTTATGCCAAGGATGGTGCTGTATGCTTATAATCCCAGCTACTCAGGAGACTGAGGCAGGAGGATTGTTTGAGCCCAGCAGTTCAAGACCAGCCTGAGCTACATAGTGAAAACCTGTCTGGGGAAAAAAATATATATATATATATTCTGTGGTTACTTACTAAGCTTTGTCACCTCAGTCAACTCTAGATTTTTCAGTTTGAAAAATTAAACTGTTTATGGCCCACTTTTTTTCCTTCATAAATCAATTTCAATGAGCTTTAATTTACAGACATAAAATGTGCCCATTTTAAGTGAACAATTTGGTGAATTTTAACAAATGTCAATACCTATGTGACCACTCCAGTTAAGATGTGGAATACTTCCTCCGTTCCAAAAAGAGGCCCCTCGTGCTGCTTTGCAGTGATTTCCTCCTGTCCCGAGCCTGCAACAACCAGTCATCTACTTTCTGTCACTAGACATTAATTCTGCCTATTGTAAAACTTCAGATAATGGAAGCTTAAAAAGTCACTCTCTGTCTGGCTTCTTTCACACAGCATCATGTTTTTGAGGTTCACCCAGGTTTCCTGTTATCAAAAGTTTGGGGTTCCCTTTTATTGCCAAGTAGTAGTTCATTGTATGACTATGCCACAATTTGATTTTGCATTCACCTGTTACCATTCACCTGTTAATGGACATTTGACCAACTTTATTTAAATTGGAAATTAAAATAGTTTTAGATTCCATACAAAATAATGAATATTTGTATAATAGATTAACCTATTTAGTTGATTTAAAGAAAGTCAAGCAGAAATTTGGCACTCTTTATGCTCACTAAAATTTTAATATTATATTTGAAAAGTGGCTTGTCTTTCCTTAGTGAAAGCTAGACAGGCTGCATACACACCTTCTGAAATACAGAAATACCTTCTAGAATCTTTCCCCCAGAATTTCCATGTTCTTCATTCTCTAAATCCTTAATCCCTAACATTCTCTTTAGGATCCTAACATTCTTGTTAGGATGAGAATGTTAGGGATTGTGTTTTCTTATTCTGTTTTGTTTTACTAGTGTTTACTTTGGTCCATGTTGTTTTCCTATTTTGTTTAATAATTGGTATGGTTAAAATTTTTCAACCACTTCACATTACTAAACCTGTAATTTTACAGGCCACACCTAAAATATAAATGCTATTTATAAGATTTCTGTGGAAACATACAGTAACCTCAAAACGACCTGCTTGCAAAATTATTAAACAAAATCAGGGTATAATTTGGAACTCCTAGTGACTTAGAACCAGAATTTTACTGCATATAAGAACTATGTAGACCCACGTTGCTCTAGTATTTTGTTTTGGTTTGTGTTTTTGTTTTTATTTTGAGACAGGGTCTCACTCTTGTCACTCACACTGAAGTTCAATGGCGCCATCTCAGCTCACCACAATCTCTGCCTCCTGGGCCCAAGCGATTCTCCTGCCTCAGCCTCTGGAGTAGCTGGGATTACAGGTTCCCACCACTACTACCCAGCTAATTTTTGTATTTTTAGTAGAGATGGGGTTTCACATATTGACCAGGCTAGTCTTAAACTGCTGACCTCAAATGACCCACCCACCTCAGCCTCCCAAAGTGCTGGGATTGCAGACATGAGCCACCACACGCTGCCTGTTTTGGTTGGTTAAGTAAATCTTTTAAAATGTATTTTCTTTTGTTATCTGATCATTTTAAATTATTTTGAAACTGAATTTGGATCTTTGCCACATACTTCACGTCTAAGTCATAGGAGTCAAATGTTTGCTTCTATCCTATTCAATTAGAATATTTTTATTAAACATTTTTATACATAAACAATATCACACATTTGTATTCAGCTTAAATCTCAGTACCAGTGATGTTGCAATTATTCAAACATTAATAAATTATTGAGTTTGTTTCTGTTAAAACAATTATATGATAGAGACAGAAAATAAGTAAGTGATTGCCAGAAGCTAGGAAGGAAGGAATTGGAAGTGATTATCATTAGGTACAGAGTGTCTTTTGGGTGCTTTGAAAATGATACTAGTGATAGTTGTACAATTATTTAAATACACTTAAAAAACTTCTGAGTAATACATTTTTAAAGGATGGTTTTTATAGTATATGAATTACAATTTTGATAAATCTACTATTAAAAATATTACATGATTGTTTTCACCATACTATTCTTCATCCTGCCTATAGATGGCTATTGTGAATAGGATATGTGTTTTCATTTATCTTTACACATAATTTTGAAAACACTGAAAGATAAAATTATACATATTAAAAACAAAACAAACAAAAAAACCTCAGTATCTCAATCTTGTTCTATAATGTCAATTCCCAAAAAAGCATATCATTGTTTTCCTTTGGCTCTAAGATATAAAATAATAGAGTTTGGGGTTGGAGAAGGGAGATGTATTTGTTGTTGTTTCTTTTCTTTTTATTTCAATGTTTCTGTCTCCTTTATCCTCCAGACTAGCACATATCTATGCCTTGTCAATTTTTCTTTGAAATATCTCTTTCTCCCCTCATACTTCCAATGCACCATCTTAACTCTAATATTCATTACTTTCCAGCTGGGATATTGCAGTCATTCCCCTTCTGGTCTCTCTGATCTCCTTTTAGTCTTTCTACGCACAGCCACCACATGGATCATCAGTGAACACTATTTCATTATCTTACTAAAGAGTGTGCAATGATTACATACAGTAAAGTTTAAATTCTTCTATTCCGTAAAAGGCAATTGAAGACCCTTTCTGATCTGAGCTCATCTTACCTATCCACTTTATCTCCACTCTTCCCAGCCAGTATTTTGCAGTAGAAAAGTTGGTAGCATTATATTGTCACACATGTCATGCTCATTCTCATTTTAATGCCTTTTCTAATGCTGTTCTCCTTACCTACAAGTCCTTCTTTGTACCTTTACCCATCCTGTTCATCCTGTAAGTCACACCTCAACGTCTATCATATTTATAAATCCTTTCTAACTTTCCTTTCTCTGAACTCCTGCTGCCTTTATTAATATTCATTAAACGGTACCAAGAATAGTTCTTTGTTTTGTGTTTGTAAGTTTTAGTTTCCCGACCATGACAGCTTTTAAGAACTTTGATATCGCAGTGGTTGTATTCGGTATACCTAGTATACTGGTTAGATAATTGGCACACAATTGTTAATTGGTTAATTAACGTATTTTCTTTGTGTCAGTGAGGGGTTTATAGATTAAGCTTATTTTAAAGGTTTAATATCTTAGCCACAGATTTGGGCTTCCATTTCAGTACTCATAGCAAGGGCCTCATGATATCATCCTTTTGTTATTAATTACTGTCATGACACCTTTGCTATATGTTCGGCACCTAGATAGAGAAAAGTTTACAGGTTCTGTATTACTGTCTCTTCAGTACCTGTCAGGTTGCCAAAACTAGCTAATATTATGAAGAACTACTTTTAGATTTTTTGTATAAACTAGGAGTGACTCAAAAAAGTAGAGGCTTTCATGTAGACCTAGAAGGGCATAAAAGAATGAAGAGCTCTTTGGTTGAAAGATATGAAATAGTTACATCCCAGAGATAACCTGTTGTAATTCATCCCATATTCTATTGTCGCTTAGTGTTACTATTTTATACAGTCATTCACAAGTGTTAGCTCTACGAAAGTTGATCTAGTAATAGGCTGAATTATCATTTAAAGTGTGAATTAATATATTTTACATGTTTTATGACTAGACACTACCTATTGCATTAAAAAACTCCCAAGGAATCCTCAGAGAGAAGAAATTATAGGAAATGGAGAGCAACAGTATGTTTATCTGAAAGATGGAGATGTGATTAAGACTGAGGGAGCCACTCTAAGGTAAGTAAATGTCCCTTAGCCAGGGAAGGTGAAGGGTCTGCGTATATGTGTTATAAAAAAGGATGGAAAGATCCCAGCACTTTGGAGGCTGAGATGGGAAGACTGTATGAGCCCAAGAGTTCAAGACCAGCCTGGGCAATATAATGAAACTTGTATCTACCAAAATAAAAGTTGTGAATTAGCTAAGCATGCTGACACATGCCTGTAATCCTAGCTATTTAGGAGGCTGAGGTAGGATGATCACTTGAACCTGGGAGGCGGAGGCTGCAGTGAGCCAAGATTGCACTATTGCACTCCACCCTGTGCAACTGAGTGAAACCCTGTCTCAAAAAAAAAATAGGAGGGACAGCAGATTTATGCATATGTGGGGGTATATGTAAAGAGTACCTCAGGAAGGATACAAAAGAAATCCAATAACATTGCTTACTCTGGGAGGAGAAAATGAGTCACCTGAGAAATGAGAAAAGAAAGATTTCACTCTTTATTAAATTGTTTATTTGAATCATATGATTACCATTTTCTTAAAAAAGTAAAGTTTACATTTTAAAAAATTAGCATTGTCTCCTAAGGTGGCTTAGAGATCCCATATTCTCAATTTCCCATATTCTCACTTCCAAAAGATGACTCATACCTAAATTAACTGATTATACCTCATGACCTATTTGAGGGATTCAAAATGGTATTTCAAACTCAGTTATTTTAAAACCAAACTCCTCTCTCCCCCACAATCTGTACCTGTTTTCTGATCTCAGAACATCCACTTTTCTCAGTACTTAAGACTTTACTCATTCTTCTAAAATAGAGGCTTCAGGATTATCTTGCACTGCTCTTCACCTTTACCATCCCCCTCCCCTTGCCCACCACACTAATCAGGTTAGTTTTTACATCAAAAATATTTGTCAGCTGACACAAATAAATGAAAGCACATCCCAAGCTCATGGATGGGTGGAATCAATATTGTGAAAATGACTATACTGCCAAAAGCAATCTACAAATTCAACAGAATCCCCATCAAAATACTACCATCATTCTTCACAGAATTAGAAAAAAAAAATTCTAAAATTCATATGGAACTAAAAAAGAACCTGCATAGCCAAAGCAAGACTAAGCAAAAAGAACAAGTCTGGCGGCATCATGCTACCTGATTTCAAATCATACTGTAAGGTCATAGTCACCAAAACAGCATGGTACTGATATAAAAATAGTCACATACACCAATGGAACAGAAAAGAGAACCCAGAACTAAACCCAATTACTTAACAGCCACCTGATCTTTGACGAAGTAAACAAAAACCTGAAGTGGAGAAACGACATCCTATTCAACAAATGGTGCTGGATAATTGGCTAGCCACATATAGGAGAACGAAACTGGATCCTCGTCTCTCACCTTATACAAAATCAACTCAAGATGAATTAAGGACTTAAATCTAATACCTGAAACTATAAAAATGCTAGAAGATAATATTGGAAAAACCCTTCTAGACATTGACTTAGGCAAAGATTTCATGACCAAGAACCCAAAAGCAAATGCAATAAAAACAAAGATAAATAGTTGGGACTTAATTAAACTAAAGAATTTTTGTATGGCAAAGGGAACAGCATAGTAAACAGACAACCAACAGAGTGGGAGAAAATCTTCACAATCCATACATCTGACAAAGGACTAATATCCAGAATCTACAATGAACTCAAACAAATCAGTAAGAAAAAAAAAACAAGCCCATCCAAAAGTAGGCTAAGGACATAAATAAACAGTTCTCAAGAAACGATATACAAATGGCCAAGAAACATGAAAAAATGTTCAACATTCACTAATGATCAGGGAAATGCAAATCAAAACCACAGTTTGATACCACCTTACTCCTGCAAGAATGGCCATAATATAAAACAGTAAATGTTGGCATGGATGTGGTGAACAGGGAACACTTTCTACACTGCTGGTAGGAATGTGAACTAGTCCAACTACTATGGAAAGCAATGTGGAGATTCCTTAAAGACCTAAAATTTGAACTACCATTTGATCCAGCAATCCCACTACTGGGTGTCTACCCAGAGGAAAAGAAGTCGTACAAAAAAGATACTTACATACAAAAGGTATTTGCATACACATGTTCATAGCAGCACAGTTCACAATTGCAGAATCATGGAACCAACCCAAAAGCCCATCCATCAACCAGTGGATAAAGAAACTGATATATTTATATGATGGAATACTACTCAGCCATAAAAAGGAATGAATTAGGGGTTGGGCATGGTGGCTTATGCCTGTAATCCCAGCACTTTGGGAGGCCAAGGCAGGCGGATAACCTGAGGTCAGGAGTTTGAGGACAGACAGGCCAACATGGTGAAACCCTGTCTTTACTTAAAAAATGCAAAAATTAGCCAGGCATGATGGTGCATGCCTGTAATCCCAGCTACTCAGGAGACCGAGGCAGGAGAATCACTTGAATCTGGGAGGTGGAGGTTGCAATGAGCCAAAATCGTGCCATTGAACTTCAGCCTGGGCAACAAGAGCAAAACTCCCTCTCCAAAGAAAAAAAAAGGAATGAATTAAGAATTAATGGCATGTCCCTGGATGACATTGGAGACTATTATTCTAAGTGAAGTAACTCAGGAATGGAAAACCAAACATTGTTCTCACTGATATGTGGAAGCTGAGCTATGAAGACACAAAGGCATAAGAATGATACAGTCCCCTTTGGGGACTCGAAGGGAAGGGTGGGAGGGGGGTGAAGGATAAAAGACTACAAATAGGGTAGAGCGTATATTGCTCAGGTGATGGGTGCACCAAAATCTCACAAATCACCACTAAAGGACTTATGTAACCAGATACCACCTGTACCCCAATAACTTATGGAAAAAATATATATATCTGTGTGTGTCAGCTGAGTACAGTGGCATGTGCCTGTAGTCCCAGCCACACAGGAGGCTGAGGCAAGGAGGATCACTTATGTCCAGGAGTTCTCAGCTGTAGTGCACTATGCCAGTTGCGTGTCCATGTTAAGTTCGGCATCAATTTGGTGACATCTCAGACCTTAAGAGCTGGGAACCACCAGGTTGCCTAAGGAGAGGTGAACTGGCCCAGATTAGAAACAGCAGGTCAGAACTCCCATGCTTATCAGTAGAGGGATCAAGCCTGTAAAGAGCCACTGCACTCCAGTCTGGGGCAACAAAGTAGAAAGCCATCTCTTAAAAAAAAAAAAAATAGGTAAACACACACAGACACACACAGTGTCGGTGCTATCCCTTCTTCACGTCCACTACTAATACTTCCTCCTTTATCTTACTCTCCCCAGCTCTTCACTTTCTAGCCTACCATCCTATATTGTGTGCTCTTGAAATCTTTAATGACTCACTGCATACAAGATAATGTTTATTCTCTTTACCATACCACAGTCCAACCCTAGGCCACTTTTCTGGTCTTCTCCCAACTCCCCTCACAAAAACACTTGGCCGTGTACAAATACTCCTGGACATATGCCTGTTCGTGCCTTTGTTTATATCTTCACCTTTACTGAGTATTGCCCAGTTCCACTATTTGTCTCCCTGGTAAATTCTCTTCAAAGCCGGGTTCACGTTACTTAAATCAAGAACCCTTTCTGGGAAAAACTTAACTGTTCCTTTCCACTTTTGTACAAATTTTATTCTATGACAGCACTTACTAAGTTGTATTGTGGTTTTTGTGGTGGGGGTAGGTGTCACCTTAAAAAGCAGTCAGCTCCTTAAGTTCACAGTGTTAGTTAATGCCAGTTGCCACAGCAAAACAACTCAGAAATGTTTAACAACTCAAATAGGAAATAAGTTTCTTTCTTGCTCACATAAAGCCCCAGAAAGGCTCCCAGTTAGCCAGTGGCCCTCTGCCAGTAATGATTCATGCTCCTTTAATCTTGCGATTCTACTCTTCTCAAGACTTGTCTTTCAAGATTGGCATGCTCAACTCAATCAATCCAGCAGTAGAGGAGCATGGAAGGGATATTGCATGGGAGATTTTTGTGGACTAAATCTTCTGTTGCATTGGCCATCAATTCAGTCATAAGCCACCCCTAACTGTAGGGAGTCTGGGAAATAGAGTTTAATTGTATGCCCAGCAAAAAAGAGGAAATGGGTTTAGTAACTAGATAGCCATTCTCTGATACAGGTAGATACCAGGTTCATCTTCATATCCTCAGCCTCTAGCACATAGAAGGCACTGAATATTTATCTTGCATAGTGTTAATATCTATAAAGAGGCAAGTAGATGAATAGACGAGTAAGAGAAAATGAAGTAGTAGATGTCTATGTCCTCTTTTAAACTGGTGCCCCCTTTCTTCTACTGTATTGTGATTTCCAAAATGTGGTTTAGAAACCTGCTCGTTTCTGGACAGTTTCATTACAATGCTCTTGTTGAAAATATAGCCAGGTATGGTGGCTCACACCTGTAATCCAGTACTTTGGGAGGCCAAGGCAGATGGATTGCTTGAGCTCAGGAGTTGAAGACCAGACTGGGTAACATGGCAAAACCCCGTCTCTACCAGAAATACAAAAAAATAGCCAGACATGGTGGTGTGTGCCTGTGGTCTTAGCTACTGGGGAAGCTGAGGTAGGAGGATTGCTTGAGCCTGTGAGGCAGAGGTTGCAGTGAACTGAGATAGTGCCACTGCACTCCAGAGCAAGTTTTGTTTTCTCCCTCTGGAGTATTATATTTTCTTCCAAAAAAAAGAAGAAAATATAATAGCATGTTATATCATTTGCTCATGACACCAAAGGAAAACATACATTATATTACTACTTCCTTAAAAAGTATTCTTGACAATACTGAAATTTCCTCCATAGCACACCAGCCCTAGATCAAGTTAATGAAAGGTGTACAGATGGTTTATTGAATCTTCTGTCTCAGATTTGGGAATCACAGTACTGGTTTATCACAGATATCGTAGGAGATCTGGGAATCACAGTACTGGTTTATTACAGTTACCAGATCTGTGCCTAATATTGCAGATTAAAAATATGCAGTCGTTTGA